ATATATATATATATATATATATATACGTGTTGTAATTTGTTCGACAGGCTCGATTGTTAATCAATCAATCAATCAATTAAATTTATTAATTAATTACTATGAACTAAGAAAAAGGATAGGAGTAGGGAGTAGGGGCGGGTGTGGTTTGTTGACATATATTTCAAAAGTTAAAATTAAAAATTAAAAAGTACAATTAAAAAAAGTCTATGACCATTCGTTACGGACGAATAAAAAAATAAAAAAAAAAATAAAAAAAAATAATATAATATACAATAAAACCATAATAATAATAATAATTATTATTATTTTATTATTATTATTATTATTATTCGCATTGAGATTATCATCTATAAACATTTAAATATTTTAATACTTCTAGTCGTATACTCCTTGCTAGAGTAAAAAGTGGTCTTGTGCGTCCCCCCAAACCACCACCATTACCACCATTTTTATTGCAACTTTAATGCAATTTTTTGTTGTTGTTGTTTTTGTTTTTGTTGTTGCAATGGGGGTAAGTAAGAAGGGGGACATGCATAGGCAATACAGAGTATAGTGCACTTTTTTTTTATAACGCATGTATTATTATTTACTTTTGTAAATGGTTTTTTTTTTTGTTGAATTTTAATTTTTTGTTTCTTTCCCCTTTTAATTATTTTTTTTTCATCTATTCATGTTTCTGTCGGAGCAATTTATTTTTAATTTTTGTCTCTCATTTGTTGATATGCGATATTAGTATTATTTTATTTCTAACCTAAACGAAACACAGTTGTTGGTTGTTGTTCCTTTTTATGGTTATGTTTTTTTTTGTTTTTTTTTTGTTTTTTCATTTTGTTTCTTTTATACCTTCTTTTTCTTTTCTTACTTCTCATTTGGTATGTTTTAAGTCTTATTTTCTTTTTGTTCCAAGAAAGAATGAAAGAAAGAAAGAAGTATTATTATTATTATTGTTATTATAATAATTGTATTTAATTAATTATAATTAATCCTCCTCCAGTACGTTGATTTTATTACATTTCTAAATTTATTTTGAAAATAAAATAAGTTAATTTGATTTTTCATTTCTTCCTTTAAAAATCATAAAAGTTCAATCGTTTATCATTTTATTTTTTCTTCTCGTTTTTTCATTGGATAGAAAAT